ATCCAAGCGAAAAACATGAACCCCACACAGTGATGTGGGGAAAAACTGACGGGTACGGAGCACTTTTGGACGTTCAGATGTCTTTTTGCGCGGCAGGCGGAAGGGATTGTGCACCTCTTCAAAAGTGAGCAAAACGTAAGGCTTTTGTAGCATTTCCAAAAACGATGGCAGGCATGGGACATTTGAAGAAGATCTGCAAACATGTATTTCGCGTGGCAGGCGCAGTACCAGAGACATGTTCATCAGAGATGTTAGGAGGTACGGGCGTTGATCTCCTGAGAGGGGTTGCATTTTGGAGCATCAGATCTTCAGGTTTGGTAAGATGATTTTGTGTGACAAGTGCAGCACTTCAGATGGAGTGGAGAAATCGCAAAACACATTGGTACGAGGCCGTCAGCTCTGCACTCACCTTTGCATTCTTGAAGGAAGTCTCGCAGAATTTGTTTTTGATGTTGCCAACTTCGAAACTTAAGGACGTCTCGCAGAACTGCTTTGTTTTTGGCATTTCAAAACATTGAAAATATCTCGCAGAATGGCTGTGTTTGCCATGTTGTCAAGTTCAAAAATTGAGGAAGTTTCGCAGGAAAGCTTCGTTTTCAGCCTTTCAGATAGACAGACGGACAGATAGAGAGATAAACAGATAGACAGACAGATAGACAGATGGATAAACAGGTATATAGATAAACAGATATATAGATAAACAGATATACAGATAGACAGATAAATAGACAACTGCAACTACACTACATTACAACAACAACAACTACTACACTTTACATACAACAACTCCAACTACAAATGCATGTAAAAATACAACTTCAACAGCACTTCAGCTACAACTACAACTTCAACTATAGCTACAATTACCATTACACGACACTACAAGTACAACTACAACAACAACAACAACAACTACTACAACTACACTACACCTGCAGTGCAACTACAGCTACAGTTACAACTTGGCTACAACTTCAAATGCTTTACAGCTAGACTACAGCTACAGCTACCAATAGTAAAAGCTTCTCTGTGTAAAAACGTCTGTGTACCAGTAGTACCGCACAAGGCGATGGCGCAAGTTTCAAAAATAGAAAACCTATAGGAGAGATTGGTTGTTGTGAATCAGGGATGGCAGAGCGAATCCACTGATGGACCGAAAGGTGCTTGAGGTCTCCTCTCTTTCTCTCTCTTTCTCTCTCTTTCTCTCTCTTTCTCTGACTACCTACCTACCTACCTACCAATCTAGCTAGCTAGCTAGCTAGCTATCTATCTATCTATCTAATCTATCTATCTATCTATCTATCTAATCAATCTATCTATCTATGTATCTATCTATCTATCTAATCTATCTATCTATCTACCTATCTATCTATCTATCTATGTATCTATCTATCTATCTATCTACCTATCTATCTACCTATCTATCTATCTATCTATCTAATCTATCTATCTATCTAATCTATCTATCTATCTATCAATCTATCTATCTATCTATCTATGTATCTATCTATCTATCTATCTATCTATCTAATCTATCTAATCTATCTAATCTATCTAATCTATCTAATCTATCTAATCTATCTATCTATCCATCTATCCATCTATCCATCTATCCATCTATCGATCTATCGATCGACTATCGATCGATCGATCTATCTATCTATCTAATCTATCTAATCTATCTAATCTATCTAATCTATCTAATTTGTCTAATCTATCTAATCTATCTAATCTATCTAATCTATCAAATCTATCTAATCTATCTAATTTATCAAATCTATCAAATCTATCTAATCTCTCTAATCTCTCTAATCTCTCTAATCTCTCTAATCTTTCTAATCTATCTAATCTATCTAATCTATCTAATCTATCTAATCTATCTAATCTATCTAATCTATCTAATCAATCAAATCAATCAAATCAATCAAATCAATCAAATCAATCAAATCAATCAATCAATCAATCAATCTATCTTATCTCCCTCTCTCCCTTTCATCTGTCTATCTGTCTAGCTGTCTACCTGTCTATCTGTCTATCTAACTACCTATCTATCTATCTATCTATCTAATCTATCTAATCTATCTAATCTATCTAATCTATCTTATCTATCTATCTCAATCTATCTTATCAATCTATCTTATCTACCTATCTGTCTATCTATCTATTTATCTATTTATCTCTATCTCTATCTCTCTCTATCTACCTATCGATCTATCTATCTATCTCTATCTATCTATCTTTCTTTTTCTTATCTTTCTCTCTCTCTCTCTCTTTCATCTGTCTATCTGTCTACCTGTCTACCTGTCTATCTAACTACCTATCTATCTGTCTATCTGTCTACCTGTGTATCTGTGGTGCAGTGTCAGTCAGTGTAATGTAGTGTAGTGTAGTGGAATGTAGTGAAGTGTAGTGGAAAGTAGTGTAGTGTAGTGTAATGTAGTGTAGTGTAATGTAGTGTAATTTAGTGAAGTGTACTTGAGTGTAGTGGAGCGTAGTGGAGTGTAGTTGTGTAGTTGTAGTTGTAGTTGTAGTGTAGTGTAGTGTAATGTGGTGAAGTGTAGTGGAAAGTAGTGTAGTGTAGTGGAATGTAGTGTAGTGGAGTGTAGTTGTAGTTGTAGTGTTGTGGAGTGTAGTGTAGTGTAACGAAGTGAAGTGTAGTGGAATGTAGTGTAGTGTAGTGTAATGTAGTGTAGTGTAGTG